TAAATTCAAATTGAAATAACCAGACGATGTGGAAGTATAGTTTCACTAAAGTTGAACAACTTAACTTGAATTTGAATTCAAATGGTTGATACAAAAAAAAATTAAATAGAGTTTCTTATTTTCTTTTGAACATTCTTCCTTAAAATAATTTCCAAACTTGAATTGTACGGTAATTGACACTTGCCTTCACAATATAGTTTCGTTTCACCAATTCTATATAAATAGATTAAATATATTTTCTGATATTGATAGTTATATTTTATTTTAAAATATTCTATTTTTAACTTGACATTCTAATGCATATATCATTTAAAATTTATATAAAATAAAAGTATATAATAATAATAATAATGAATACTCAGTATAGTACTACAATATGAGATTTGAAGAGAGTGCATTATAAGAAGAACTTTCTACAATACATGGAATTTTGAGATACATGAGTGTACACAAATTTTCCCCTCTCTTAGAGGTAGAGAAAATTATTTCGAATTCATATAATTTTTATATTTTAATTCAAACTAAAAATAGTAATTCAATATTAAGAGTGATCATAAATTTAACTAAACACTATTCCCTTTGTTCCATATTAGTTGTCTATATTTTTCTTGACACGATGCTAAGTAATCAGAAATAAAAAGGATAATTTTTACTACTTTACCCCATAATATCTTTTATTTGGAATTTCATAAACTTGTTTACACATTTAAAAAAGAATTAATTTTAAGGGAAGTTGAAAAAATTGTAATTAATTTCTATCTTTATTTCATAAATTGACAATTAATTTGAGATAATTATTTTTATTAATGTGAACAAGTAATATGAGTCGATGGTCTCTCTACCTTCACGAGATAGTAGAAACGTCTAGGTACACTCTATCCTTCTTAGACTTCACTTATGAGATTTCACTAGGTATGTTATTATTGTTATTGGAGGACAATTAATATGTGACATAAGAAGTATAAGTTAAAAATTTATTTTGAAAAGCAGAATAGATAACAAAACTAATAACAATATATTTATATATATCCCCCCGAACTTCGACGAAAACTCTATATATATATATATATATATATATATATATAAAATATTTATTCATATGAATAATTGACCTTTTCCGTTAACTTAAAGTAAAGTACATATTTGTTTTATTACTGTTAATATTATTAATTATTGTTATATTCATGAGATGATTTTCTCTGTTATTAACTATAACAACTGTTAATTATATATCACAATTTTTGTATTTGTTATATATATAAGAAAAAATGTTGTATTTGTTAATTTTAAAAGAAGAAAAAATAATAACTATAAAAGCAAAGCACTAATTTTCACTAAAAATAACTCTCCAGCCGTCTAACCCTCCCCCCCCTCCCCATTTAGATCCAAAAACTCTTACCCCAAAAATTTAAAATTGCAAAAGATCAAAAGTTCCCCCCAAAAATTTAAAACTCATTTAATAAAAATCTAGATATTCTTTCCCCTCTTCCCATAGCTTTCTTGTCAGCCCTTCCCCTCAACCTTTTTATCCCAGGTTTTTGTTAATTTTTTTTTGTTTCTAATGTTTTGTTATTTTGTCTTTTGTAGGTTTTACATAGCATTCTTCAAGGAGATGAGATAAGTTTTCACAATATGAGGTTTTTGTTTTACTCAGTCCTATGCTTTAAATTTTCTATTATGTATAGGTTCAAGAAAATATTGAACCACAAATAATTTATCATACATAATTATATTCTATATTTTTGCAAGAGATTATTGTCCTAGCTTGAGTCGATGGGTATTACAATGGATTGTATATGTTTATTAATGTAGAAGAATTTTTTTGATTAGGTATGAGTTTTATAATTGATTTTAAAATTTGAGATCTATATCTACAGGTTTTCTTATTCCTTTGTTTACTTTGTATTTTTTTTATTTGCTAAACATTTTTGTAAAAAAATGATCATTCACAAATATATTTTTTCGTTGAAATTTTATATCATTATGTTCTTGGTGCTAAAATATTTACCATTATTGATAGGCATATTTATGGAATAAGAGCATATAAATGAAAAATTGGGACCGATGTTGATCAAGCTAAGGTGCAATTGAAGATTGTGGAAGGAGAGATAGAGGAAGACTATGTTGCTTTGGAAAAAATATTTGTGGCAAATGCTTTAATTTTATAGCTATAATGTTTTTAATTTGTAGCTAAATACAAGTATCATTGCCACAAGATTAAAAATATAAAATTGCCACTTTAAATTTTCATTGCAAATAAATCAAGTCATTTGCTATAGTAGAATATATTGTGTCTACAATATAAAACTTGCTATAGATTTAATTTGTTGTGGCAAAAGAGTAAAAATATTTGCTATAAGTATATATTTCGTAGCAAGAATTTTGTACTATTATAGCTACAATACAATTTTTTAGTTGCTACAAGTATTAATACTTAGCCACGTACCATGTAAAGTCTGTAGCTAACTTTTAGCCACCCTACATCTTGCCACGAATGCTACAAAAAAAATATTTTATGGCTAAAGCATTTAGCTACGAAAAATTTCATATTTAGCTACAATGTGTTTTGTAGCTTTAAATGCATTTTCTTGTAGTAGCAAAAAATTGTTGCAATAATTAACTTAATGGTTATAATTATTTGTCATGAAAAAATGATACAACCATGTGAGTACAATTGTGGTGATAAATAATTTGTAGATAAATATTCAGCTTAATTGGAACAAAAAATGATGGGGGACGGGGAAGCCATACACATCACAACTTTGGGGAAGGATGGTGATAGAGGTCTAGCTGTGGTTACACGTAGTGGGAAAGTAGCGGTAGGTGATATGAAGGGTAATGATGAAGCACAAGCTCATGAAGACAACAAAGGTATTGAGGAAGAAGAGATACCTATCCAACAAAGCGTTGCAAAGAGCTACAAACAGATGCAACACAAAGCACTCCAACGTCATAAGTGGTGCAACCTCTTCCCAAAATAACTCCTCTGTTTCCCCAACGTCTCAAGAAAAAAATTGAGGATGAAAAGTTCAAGAAGTTCTTATCGGTGTTCAAGACATTATCGATTAATCTCCCTCTAGTGGAGACATTGTTGGAGATGTCGGGTTATGCCAAGTTTATGAAGGAGTTAGTCACAATGAAAAGAAGTTTGGACTCTGAAACAATTGAAGTCTCTCATAGTTGTAGTGCAATTATGACTAATGAGACGATAAAAAAGAAGGAAGATCCCGGAGCCTTAACCATTCCTTACACAATCGGTATGCTCCAATTCGCCAAGGCCCTATGTAATATAGGAGCAAGTATAAACCTAATGCCATATGCGATCTATAGCAACTTGGGTTGGGTGAACCAAAGTCCACAACAATGAGGCTTTTGATGGCAAACCGATCTATCAAGCACCCTGTGGGAATACTCTATGATATCTTGGTAAAGATTGTCCGATTCATTTTTCTGGCTGATTTTGACATCCTTGATTGCGAGATTGATGCGGAAATTCCAATTATTTTGAGAAGACCTTTCTTGGCAACCGGGAGAGAGTTAGTAGATGTTGAAAGTGGAGAGTTGAAGTTCCGGGTAAATGAAGATGAAGTAACCTTTAATGTGTGTAAGTCTATGAAACACTCAAGCGATATTCATGTGGTTTCAACTATTGATGTAATTGATGAAGTTGTGGCTAGTGTTGGCCATTTGATGTGCATGAGTGAGCCACTAGTAGCGGAACTTGCAAACTATGATGAGTCTGAAGTCCAAGGTTACAATGAGGTAGTAGCTGCCCTTTCGGGTTTGGGGGAATATTCAAAGACTCCATTAAAGCTGGATATTGATCTAAAGAATCGGGAGAATCCTCCCGCAAAGCCATCAACGGAGGAGCCACCAAAGCTTGAGTTAAAAGTGCTCCCCTCCCATCTTCGATATGCATTCTTGGGGTAAAATAACACTTTGCCCGTAATTATTGCAGCCGACTTGCTTGAATGGCAAGTGAAGTTGCTCCTTGAAGTGTTGAGAATATACATCAAATCCATTGGATGGACTATCGCTGATATTGTGGGCATTCCACCCGGCATTTGCACTCACAAAATTTAGCTTGATAGAGAGTGTAAGCCAAGTGTTGAGCATCAAAGAAGATTTAACCCATCGATGCATGAGGTGGTGAAAAAGGAGATAATAAAGTGGTTGGATGCAGGGGTGATTTACCCTATTGTGGATAGTAAGTGGGTGAGTCCGGTCCAATGTGTACCAAAAAAAGGAGGTATCACGGTGGTCCCAAATGAAAAGGAGGAGCTTGTTTCTATAAGACCAGTAACCAGATGGCTAGTATGCATGGATTACCGAAAATTGAACTCGTGGACCGAAAAAGATCTCTTCCTTATGCCCTTTATGGATCAGATGCTTGATCGACTTTCAGAAAGAGGATGGTATTGCTTCTTGGATGGGTACTCTGGATATAATCAAATCTCTATTGCTCCGGATGACCAAGAGAAAACCACTTTCACTTGTCCGTATGGGACTTTCGCTTTCAAAAAAATGTCGTTCGTGTTGTGTAATGCTCCAGCAACATTTCAACGTTGCATGCTATCTATTTTCGCTGATATGGTAGAAGATTTAATGGAAGTTTTCATAGATGACTTCTCAGTTATGGGTGATACATTTGAAGAATGCTTGGCACATTTGGGGCAGGCCCTTCAGAGATGTGTTGAGACAAATTTGGTCCTAAATTGAGAGAAATGTCACTTCATGGTTAGGGAAGGCATAGTTCTTGTTCACAAAGTATCACAAAAAGGGTTGGAAGTTGATAAAGCGACAATCGAAGTCATAGAGAAGTTACCACCACCGATCTCAGTGAAAGGCATTCGAGTTTCTTAGGGCATGCTGGTTTTTACCGGAGGTTCATAATTTTTTTTTCAAAAATTGCACACCCTTTGTGCAAACTTTTGGAGAAGGAAGTAAAATTCAATTTTGATGATGATTGCATGATAGCCTTCTAATGTTTGAAAGAAAAAATGATTTCCACTTCGGTTATCATTAATCCCGATTGGTCATCACCTTTTGAAGTGATGTGTGATGCAAGCGGTACGGCACTAGGTGTTGTGTTGGGGCAAAAACGCAATAAGCTATTCCACTCCATTTACTATGCAAGCAAAACTCTGAATGGTGCTCAACATAACTATACAGTTACGGAGCAAAAAATACTTGTGCTGGTATATGCATTTGAGAAGTTTCGAGCATACTTTCTAGGTACCAAAGTGGTTATTCATACAGATCACGCTGCTCTGCGGTATGTGATGGCAAATAAAGATGCCAAGCCAAGATTAATAAGGTGGGTGCTGCTATTGCAAGAATTTGACTTTGAAGTCAAAGACAGAAGAGGTTGTGAAAATCAGGTGGGTGACAACCTATCAAGGTTAGAAGGCAAGGAGAATGATGAGCTAAAGGTAGACATAAACGATGCCTTTCCCGATGAACATGTATTCACGGTAACTCTACAACAAACTCCTTGGTATGCTGATTTTATTAACTATGTAGTGTGTGGATTGATACCGAACGAACTTAACTTCTACCAACGAAAGAGGTTTTTGTTCGATGTCAAGAAATACTTTTGGGATGAACTATTCTTATTCCGAGAGTGTGCAGACCATATCATTAGGAGATGTGTACCGGAGGAGGAATTCAACGAAATTCTCCAAGCGTGTCATGCTCACCGGTTGATGGTCATTATGGTGGGGTGCGTACAATTGCTAAAATTCTTCAAAGTGGTTTCCACTGGCCATCTCTTTACAAAGATTCTCATGAGTTTGTTAATAAGTGCACTCAATGTCAAAAACAAGGTGGAGTATCTATAAGACATGAGCTGCCCCTCAAGGCTATTCTGGAGGTTGAGTTGTTTGATATTTGGGGAATAGTTTTCATGGGTCCATTTATGAGTTCGTTTGGCAATACGTACACTTTGGTGGCAGTAGACTATGTTTCTAAATGGGTAAAAACTGTGGCACTACCAAACAATGAAGGGAGAAGTATTGTTCAGTTCCTAAAATGCTACATCTTTGCTAGGTTCGACACTCCTCGGGTTATTATTAGTGATGGTGGATCCCATTTTTGCAATAGGCTTTTTGCGTCCGCATTGAGCAAATATGGGGTGAGACATAAAGTAGCAACGCTATATCATCCTCAAACGAGTGGCCAAATGGAAGTTTCGAATCAAGAGTATCTTGGCTAAGACCGTAAATGCAAATAGGACTGATTGGTATTGAAAGTTAGATGATTCTCTGTGGGCATATCACACCGCCTACAAGACACCAATCGGTATGTATCCATATCAACTAGTTTTTGGGAAATCTTGCCATTTACAGGTTGAACTAAAACAAAAAGAATTATGGGCATTAAAGGCTCTGAATCTGCACTGGGCAAGGACTTCAAAAGGAAGAGTAGATCACATCAATGAATTGGATGACTTCAGGTTTAGGGCTTATGAAAGTATAGCACTCTACAAGGAATAGATGAAGAAGTGGCATGATTCTAGAATCCTTAGGAGGGAATTCCAAGTTGGAGATTGGGTGTTGCTGTATAATTCTCGGCTAAGACTCTTTCTGGGAAAGCTCAAATCCAAATGGTCAGGCCCATTTAGAGTAACACGGGTGTTCACTAATGGAGCCATTGAAGTCGAAGGTAAAGAAGGCCTTGCCTTCAAAGTGAATGGGCAATACTTGAAATTATATTTTGGAGAATGCCATGAAATTTCTGTGATTAAAGTGGTGTATCTGGAAGATGCTTGAGAGCATTTCCACGTCGTGCCACGACGTTAAATAAGGCGCTTCTTGGGAGGCAACCCATGTGTTAGTGTTTTGAAAAATGTGTGCTGAATGTGCATGTGTAGGCGATTTTGCGAGGGTAAGACTCCATCGGCGAGTCGCCGAGTTAGTTCGGCGATCACGAAGTTGATCGCCTTCTAGGCGTTAACCATGGGTTGAGACACTGGAACATTAGGCGGGATACTTGCACCACTCGACGACTCGCCGAAGTGATTGGGCGACTAGACTTTCACCGCCTTTTTGCATTAGCCCTGATAGCCCAAATCTTGGATCATTCGGCAAGGTTTTAATTCCATTAGGTGATGCGCTGATGTATTCGGCGGACTCGATCTTGTCCGCCTTTCTTCCCCCACATGGACTGGTTGCATACTGGAAATATCTGCGAGCTCCATACCATTTGGTGAATTGCCAAATAGTTCGGCGACTCTAACAAACTTTCGCCAAATGGGTGCCTAGTGAAGATTCCTTGTCACCCTACTTTGCTTGTTTAAGTGCCAATTGTTTATCTTTGATTTTGTTATTGTTTGTTCTCTATTCACATTGGGGACAATGTTTGATGCTTTTAGTGGGTGTGGTAGGTGTCTGATTATTGAGTCCTTTGCTCTTTCAAAAGTTATTCGAGTATCGGTCGTGATCAATGCTGATGACTCGAATAATGTTCTTAATTGAACAAAATGAATGCGCGGCTATGATGAGGCCAAATGAAGTTGCATAGACAATGTGTGAACTTTTTGCATCTCATTGAGACTAGCCGGTTATCGAATGAAATCTCTTGTGATGAACATTTCACACTAGCTAGAAAGTGTGGAGTCTCGTTTGATATTGATGCCAATGCCTTGTGTAATGAGCTTACCTTGAACATTATGTAATGACACCTAGAATTTGCCCCGGTGGTCCGGTTGACTAAGTGATGCAAGCTCTTGAAATGATCTTAGGCAACAAATTCAATGAGTGAAACAAATTGACATGATACCTCTTTGTGTGACCAACCTTGTGAGATGGTGAGAACCTTGCTTGAACCCCTTTGAGCCTTATCCTTTTCTTGGAAGAAACTTGAACAACTGTGACCCCTCTTTATCCGTTCACCCATAACTTTCATGAAGTGTGGTTTGTTTGAATAGCCAACTTAGGCCAAAATCCTAAGTTGGGGGTGTGGTGAAAAGAGAGGGCAAATCAAGAAGTGTAAAAAACAAAATAATCCCCTTTTGAGAAATAGTGTTGAAAAAGATGGAACCTCTCCATGTAAAAAAAAGAATAAAACAAGAAAACAAAAGAAAAATAATGAAAAAGTTGTGAAATAAAATAGTGAAAAAAAAGATGGAACCCCTCCATGTAAAAGAAAAAGAAAAAAAGGCCAAAAAGGTTGTGAAATAAAGTAGTGATTATTGCAAAAGAAATGGGGTATCCGGTAGTCCATTTGAAGTGAATAATGGGGGTGAATTATGAGCATGATCAAAATGTTGAAGAAAAGGGAAGAAAGTAATGTTCAGACCACATTTCATGAGGGTAGCAACCACTGAGCCTAAATGACCCATACCTTTTACACTCAGCCTCGTTACAAGCCTTGAAAAGACCTTTGTGATCTTGAGTGAGCTGAAGAGAATGTTGATTGGAAAATAAGGGCAAACCTATGGGTGAAGTCAAGCATGTGTTCATCTTTGTGAGTGTGAGAGTCACATGTGATTCTGGAACTATAAATTGTCGGAGAACTTTGTGTGTGAATATGGAATAATCTTTGTTGTGAGGGCATTTGAGTACCTTTGTTGAGCTTGAACTTGCATTTGAAGCAAGTATTGTGAACTTGAGCATCGTTGATAATGGTGAGTCAGAATTTGAATCTTTGAGTGCACAATTGATCATTGCATGCGTAAATTGAGTCTTGTTGTGTGCATTCATGTTGAGTCTTTTGTAGCATTTTAGACATCTTTTTTAAGATGCTAAACTTGAGTTTTATTTGATGACAACTAAAAGTTAAAGTTGGGTGTGTTGATGAGTCCAAGATTTGGACTCATTTAGGGTTTTGTGTATATAAATTTAGTGTCCTCAAATATGTAATCTTTGCCATAAATTGATATTAAATCCGTAATTTTTAGGTATATAGGTTGAGGAACAAAGCAAGGACACTAATAGGCAAAAAAGACAACACAAGCTGAGAAAGAGGGAGAAAAACAAGCCTGACGATTGCCAAGAGAACTCAGCGAATCGCCAAGTTACCCCTGGATCGCCTAAATTTACAGAGCACTGAACCTGAAACCGAAAGAACTTGGGAGAACTGCATTCCCTATTAGCGAATCGCCAACTACATTGGTGAAGGATGATCATGTCGCCGAACGTACCGGTCGAGACCAAGGTGAATTCAAATTGGCGAGCTAAAAGACTAAAGGGCGCATCGCGGAAAGGATCGGCGATCCCGATCTAGATCGCCTAAAATTATAGTGTTTGAACTAGGACGATCGGCAAGTCGCCGACTGGTCGACGAAGCCCGACTTTCCTCGTGGATTGACCCCAAAATGCCACACCTCAGTTTAGTATAAATTGATTTTCAGAAGAGAGAGAAAGCATTTAGAAATTGTGAGGAGCGAAATAGAGAGAGCAAAAACACTACTCTTGTTGATTTTAAGCAATTTTGGCAAGACATTTAAATTGGGTATTGTAATAGAGAATATATTATTCATCTTAGAATTTTTATTTTCAAATACCCAGTCATGGAGCATGTAGTAAGTATTAAATTTCTTTCTTTTACGATGATTGGCTAAAACCCCGATCTTGGAGGTTTGACAATGTAACCAATTGCTGCGTTTGACTTAATGGGTGCTAGTTATTATTGATTTTGGTGCTAATTTGAAGTGGGTCTAAGTTATTGTTGTGGTTTAACCTCTATATTGTATGTTTATTTCAATATAATTCAGGGTTTTATGCTTGCTTGAGAAAGAAGTGTAGAGATTATGTGATAAATTGGCACTCATAGCTAGTGGGTCATGACGATTTCAGCTTGAGAAAGTGAAGCCCAAGATTCATCCTATGTATCTAGCTCGAGAGAGTGGATGTGGTGAGGTTGTGGGCTGGTCTTTGTATGTAGTGCGCTGAGGTTTGAAAGAATTCAGTGGAAACAAGGTAATTGTTCGAGAGAAAAGTGCCTTATCTAAAGTCCACCCTACCCATGAAAAATTAGCATTTTTAGTTTAGTGATTTGCACCTGTTGAGTTGATCTCTCCATTATTTGGTTGTTCCTAGTTGATTGTTGTAGTGATTGTCTAGTCTAAAGACCGCTCACTTTGGAATTTGTGTTACTCCTCCAATTTGGTCCATAGTTTCCGAAAACTTTTATGCCTTCAGTTGCAAAAGTCACCGTTATGCTTCATATTTGAATTTCAAAATAGAATTACTCTTTGTGGGATCGACCCCAACTCTTTTGTTGGGTTTATACTGCTTAATGATCGTATCAGATGAGGTGTAGTTGATACGTTAATCATATATGTTACTCACTTTGTCCCAACTTATGTGGCACATGTGAAATTTTGAACTCAACCAAATTTTTAGTAGGTATGCTTTTTTTTTTTTTTAAAATTTAAATTGTTAATTATTGTCATGACTTATAGTACTCTTAATTAACATAATTTTTAAATAATATATGTTATTTTTCGTGTCCCACTTTATGTGGAGAGTTAAATCAATTTTTAAATATATTTTTAAGTACTTTAAGTTGTGATTTATAGTATTCTTAATGTAATTTCCAAATAATATATGTTACTCAATTTGTCCAAATTTACGTGACACATGTGAAATTTCTAAAGCTAATCACATCTTAATATGTTTTTCAAATATTTTAAGTTATTAATTATTGTAATTTATAGTATTCATAACGTAATTTTTAAATATATAATATATATGTTACGTTACTCCCTCAGTTCCAATTATGCAGTACGAGTGAAATTTTGAGAGCTAACCAAATTTTTAGTATTTGAAATTGATTTTTAATACTATTTTTATCGATATATAACACATAAAAAAAAAGATAAAATAAATTAAAACAAATAAAATACTAAAAGTAAATAGAGGAAGTTGAAGGAGAAGGCGAAACCGATCAAATGACCGGCTGACCTGTGCTCCTCAACATTCACTCTTATTATATAGAGTAAAATATGCATTCTTGATTTATTTTTCTGGCCTCGATGACGATAATAAAGGCACTTTTTAGAAATGGATATTACGTTCTTAATTCCAAACATTTCTTGATTATTGGTGGTTTGGCATCAAACACGTTGGAATGATGACCATGCATAATGATCATATATACTAACTCTCGGTAGAAGCAAACAAGTTTGAAATTATCATACACTAACATTTAATAAAAGCAAATTAAAGTTAATAAAAAAAAACAGGGAACTTACATAAATCTCATTAGTTTAGGAACTGATTACTTAGATACACTTTAATTTGTAATATTATGAATCTTACAAGATTTGGTGCATTCAGATACATGTACCTCGTGATATATGAAGCCAAACTTAGGTGTATTTTGTTCTAGTTTCATTGTATCCATGTGGTTTGGCATGTATATGAGATACATATCAAATCTTGTTCACCACTCTCCTATGTATCTGGTATCTCATTTAATGCGACTCACACCAGATACATACATATACATGTATCTAGTGTGATGCGCATGCATCTGAGATACATGACTA